CAGATCTCTCCCCTGCCCTGCCATTAATTCACCCAGCCCAGCACACTCTGGAAATACCACGGCATTTTTCCTCTTTCCAGCCCAGACACCACCAGGCAGAGGAGATGCACCAGAACTCCCAATTTTAGGGGAGTTACGGCCGCGTGTCTGCCTGACCCAGGGGCCATCGATCCTCTGCACAACATCTGCCGGCGAGGCTGTGCACTGCCACATCTGGAATTGTTTGAGGACAGGCTGGGCAGCGCTTGGAGCGACCTGGGAGGCGGAAGGGGATTTCTTTCCACTCCCTGTTGGAACTCAGAACGTCCCTCAGACGTTTTTGGATGTTCCGGGCCCAGGTCAGAAGCATTTGAGACCCTGGCACAGCTGCAAACAGCTGTGAGTTTGGGTTTGAGCCATGGAACGAGTTACCAACCTTGCAGGCAGAACAAGAAGTCACCAAAGTTTGGATGTTACAGTAGAAGTGGTCACAAAGTAGAGGGAAGAATTTCTGAGTGCTGTACAGGGGGTTTGGTTTTGTACATGGGGGTCAGAGGTTTAAGATGGATTTGGGATTTGGGCCTGCCCTGTCCTCCCTCTTTCTCCTTCCTCACCTCCATGTTCTGGTGATGTTGGCACTCACAGATTGGTTTGGAGGAGAAAAGCACCATTTAATATAGGTAATGGGCATTGGGGAAAAATTATAAACATTTAATATGTAATGTATCATATAAAATATAGAAAGGCACCATTTAATATAGGGAATAGGTATTGGGGAAAAATTATAAACATTTAATATGTAATGTATCATATAAAATATAGAAAGGCACCATTTAATATAGGGAATAGGCATTGGGGAAAAACTGTAAACATGTAACACGTAATGTACCATATAAAAGAGAGCAGCAGCCCTGGGCAGGGAGAGGAGGAGGAGGAGGAGGAGGAGGAGAAGAAGAAGAAGAAGAAGAAGAAGAAGAAGGAAAAGAAGAGGAAGAGGAAGAAGCAGCAGCAGCAGTCAGGAGTCAGAGAGGATGTCAGGGTGTGTGTGTGCCTCTGCCTGAGCTGTGAGCAAACCACAGCAGCCCCAGAAGAAAATCTTTGAGATAACTTGCAATAAACTGCCTTGAGACTGAACAAGAGACTGCTGAGCCTTTCTTTGGAAGCTCGGCTTGGAGGAGAGACTTTTCCACCACATGGAGCCACCCCTGACCCAGGAGCGAGCTCCAGCACCTTCCCACCCAAAGCCCCCCTAAAGCCCCGGGTTCTGGGAGGTGGAACGGGATTTCTTTCTGCTCCCTTCCCACCCCAATCACCCGTGGAGCCCCGAGTTTTGGGAATTTCTTTCCGCTCCCTTCCCACCCGAGCCACCCATGGAGCCCAGAGTTTTGGGAAGTGGAAGGAAATTTCTTTCCGCTCTCTTCCCACTCAAGCCGCCTGTAAAGCCCCAGAGTTTTGGAGGTGGAATGGGATTTTTTTCCTCTCCCTTCCCACCCAAACATCCCCTAAAACCCTGAGTTTTGGAAGGCGTTAGGAGATTTCTTTCAGCTCCCTTCCCACCTGAACCTCCCCTACAGCCCCGGATTTTGGGAAGCAGAAGGAAATTTCTTTCTGCTCTCTTCCCACTCGAGCCACCTGTAAAGCCCCAGATTTTGGGAGGTGGAACGGGATTTCTTTCCCTTCCCACCTGAACCTCCCCTATAGCCCGGGATTTTGGGAGGTGTTAGGAGATTCCTTTCAGCTCCATTCCCCCCCGAACCACCCCTAAAACCCTGGATTTTGAGAATTTCTTTCCACTCCCTTCCCACCCGAATCACCCCTAAAGCCCCAGATTTTGGGAACGGGATTTCTTTCCGCTCCTTTCCCACCCGAACCACCTGNGCTGTGAGCAAACCACAGCAGCCCCAGAAGAAAATCTTTGAGATAACTTGCAATAAACTGCCTTGAGACTGAACAAGAGACTGCTGAGCCTTTCTTTGGAAGCTCGGCTTGGAGGAGAGACTTTTCCACCACATGGAGCCACCCCTGACCCAGGAGCGAGCTCCAGCACCTTCCCACCCAAAGCCCCCCTAAAGCCCCGGGTTCTGGGAGGTGGAACGGGATTTCTTTCTGCTCCCTTCCCACCCCAATCACCCGTGGAGCCCCGAGTTTTGGGAATTTCTTTCCGCTCCCTTCCCACCCGAGCCACCCATGGAGCCCAGAGTTTTGGGAAGTGGAAGGAAATTTCTTTCCGCTCTCTTCCCACTCAAGCCGCCTGTAAAGCCCCAGAGTTTTGGAGGTGGAATGGGATTTTTTTCCTCTCCCTTCCCACCCAAACATCCCCTAAAACCCTGAGTTTTGGAAGGCGTTAGGAGATTTCTTTCAGCTCCCTTCCCACCTGAACCTCCCCTACAGCCCCGGATTTTGGGAAGCAGAAGGAAATTTCTTTCTGCTCTCTTCCCACTCGAGCCACCTGTAAAGCCCCAGATTTTGGGAGGTGGAACGGGATTTCTTTCCCTTCCCACCTGAACCTCCCCTATAGCCCGGGATTTTGGGAGGTGTTAGGAGATTCCTTTCAGCTCCATTCCCCCCCGAACCACCCCTAAAACCCTGGATTTTGAGAATTTCTTTCCACTCCCTTCCCACCCGAATCACCCCTAAAGCCCCAGATTTTGGGAACGGGATTTCTTTCCGCTCCTTTCCCACCCGAACCACCTGCGGAGCCCCGGATTTCGGGAATGTCTTTCGGCCCCCTTTCCAGCCAAACTCCCCTAAAGCCCTGGGTTTCAGGAATGTCTTTCTGCTCCCTTCCCCCCTGAACCACCCCTAAAGCCCCAGATTTTGGGAAGGTCTTTCCGCTCCCTTTCCACCCAAACCTCCCCTAAAGCCCCATGTTTTGGCCATTTCTTTCTGCTCCCTTCCCACCCGAACCACCCCTAAAAGCCTCAGATTTTGGGAATGTCTTTCAGCCCCCTCCCCAGCGGAACCTCACCTAAAGCCCCGTGTTTCGGGAATTTCTTTCCACTCTTCACCCCCAAACCTCCCCTAGAGCCCCGTATCTCGGGAATGTCCTTCAGCCCCTTCCCCCCAAACCTCCCCTAGAGCCCCGAGTCTTGGGAACGTCCTTCAGCCCCTTCCCACCCGCGGAGCCCCGTGTCTCGGGAACATCCTTTGGCCCCTTCCCCCCAAACCTCCCCTAGAGCCCTGTGTCTCGGGAACGTCCTTCGGCCCCTTGCCCCGAACCTCCCCTAGAGCCCCGTGTCTTGGGAATGTCTTTCGGCTCACTTCCCCCCCAAACCTCCCCTAGAGCCCCGTGTCTCAGGAATGTCCTTGGGCCCCTTCCCACCCGCCGAGCCCCGTGTCTCGGGAACATCCTTGGGCCCCTTGCCCCCAAACCTCCCCTAGAGCCCCGAGTCTCGGGAATGTCCTTCAGCCCCTTCCCCCCAAAACCTCCCCTAGAGCCCCGTGTCTCGGGAACATCCTTGGGCCCCTTGCCCCCAAACCTCCCCTAGAGCCCCGTGTCTCAGGAACGTCTTTTGGCTCACTTCCCCCCCGCCGAGCTCTGTGTCTCGGGAACGTCCTTCAGCCCCTTCTCCCCAAAGCTCCCCTAGAGCCCCGAGTCTCGGGAGCGTCCTGGGCCCCTTCCCACACGCGGAGCTCTGTGTCTCGGGAACGTCCTTCAGCCCCTTTCCCCCAAAGCTCCCCTAGAGCCCCGAGTCTCGGGAGCGTCCCGGGCCCTTTCCCCCAAACCTCCCCTAGAGCCCCGAGTCTCAGGAGCGTCCTGGGCCCCTTCCCCCCCAACCTCCCCTAGAGCCCCGTGTCTTGGGAATGTCCTTCAGCCCCTTCCCCCCGAACCTCCCCTAGAGCCCCGTGTCTCGGGAGCGTCCTTCAGCCCCTTTCCCCCAAAGCTCCCCTAGAGCCCCGAGTCTCGGGAGCGTCCCGGGCCCCTTGCCACCCGCGGAGCCCCGTGTCTCGGGAGCGTCCTTCAGCCCCTTTCCCCCAAAGCTCCCCTAGAGCCCCGAGTCTCAGGAGCGTCCCGGGCCCCTTGCCCCCAAACCTCCCCTTGAGCCCCGAGTCTCGGGAGCGTCCTTCAGCCCCTTTCCCCCAAACCTCCCCTAGAGCCCCGAGTCTCAGGAGCGTCCTTCGGCCCCTTCCCCCCCAAACCTCCCCTAGAGCCCCGAGTCTCAGGAGCGTCCTTCGGCCCCTTCCCCCCCAAACCTCCCCTAGAGCCC